TTGTAAGTCACAGCTCTTCTGATAGTACTTATCCCTACTTGACATGATATTGCATATTTATTTGTTTTCTGTCTCCCCTTGTACAATGTAAAGGCTCCAAGAAGGAAAAGACTTTGTCTGTCTTGTTTAACATGTTATGCCCAGAGCCTAGAACAGTGTCTGGCACATAGCAAGCCTCAACACATATTTGCTGCATGAATGAAACGGGAAAACGGGGATGTCTCAAAATGACTGCCCTGGTGCCCATTCATGGCTCTTCCTTTTTCAGCCAGCAGGGGGCTCTTCGACTCTCTCTAGAATTCAGTATCGTCTACAAGTACCTGGTGAGTTTACCTGAAATTCTACAGCCTCATGCAACCAGAAATACTCATCTCCTCCTTTTTTTTTTCCCTCTAAGTAGGATTTTTCCAACTCTGGTAAATATTAAACTTTGTGTTAGCAAACAGGTTTTTTCTTTTTATAGGTGGTTCTTCAAGGATTTTTTGGTTTGGTTTTTGAAGGGTATAAGGTTTGCCGCTAGAAATTATAATTTTTAATTCACTCACAGACATGTTGTTGTCATAAACAAAATGTGTGTAACCAGGGGGACAATAGCTTAGCAGTAATGTAAGTTTATGTAAGTGCTTAAGCCCCACAAATTAAACTGCTGACTGAATGCAGCCAATCAATTACAACATGCATTTATATCCTTCTGAAAGGGAGATGCCTCTCTCTCTCTTTTTTCTAGCCACCTTCGCCCCAATAACCTGGCAATATAATATATCTTGTTGAAAACAGATGTCAGAAATATATTGGTAAATATAACATCTTCTTTTGGAAAATAAATCTTCCCCTACTTAAAATAGGGTGGTTTTAAAGTTTGTATCAATTTAAAAATTGAAAAATCCCCACTGGAGACACTGCTAATGCACTTGAATGGGCTTATTGTCTCTTGGCCATTTCCTTTAGAGTCGATTCTGGCAGGAGAGCGCCAGCCTTATTGCCAAGACAAGAAGAACTATATATTATGATGTGTGCTCTGCCAACACAAAGTAAAGCTAGTTTGGCAACACTTAACTGTTGTTGGGAAAGCCCAGGTATCATAAAGATATTAATATGGCTAATAGACTCTTATGTCTGTTTCTGTAGAAATCGTCCTTAATTTTGTACACAAGAAAATTCACCTCTTCTGTCAGGCAGTAGTTTCCTGGAAAAACCACAGCAACCTTCTATAAATGAACCAGAGTAAATGGATTCTTGTAGAGGAAGGAGCAAAGAACTCATGGGAATGGATAGCTTACCTAGATGGAGAAAGTTGCCTATCAGGTTTTTTGTTTTGTTTTGTTTTTTTTGCGGTACACGTGCCTCTCTCACTGTTGTGGCCTCTCCTGTTGCGGAGCACAGGCTCCGGACGCGCAGGCTCAGCGGCCATGGCTCACGGGCCCAGCCACTCCGCGGCATGTGGGATCTTCCCGGACCAGGGCACGAACCCGTGTCCCCTGCATCAGCAGGCGGATTCTCAACCACTGCGCCACCAGGGAAGCCGTATCAGGTTATTTTCAACAAAGAAAATCCCCTCATTGCCATCTTCAGCTTGCAAATGGAAAACCAATTTTTGCGTGTGTGTGTGTGTGTGTGTGTGTGTGTGTGTCTTTTTTTTCCTTTCTGGAAAAAAAATGATTGAAACTGTTGCCTCTAGGCAGGGGGGAAATGAACCCTGTGACTTGTATGGACTGAGGACGCAGGTAAAGGTGTGTGTGTTGAGTCTGATGAACTAACTCAGCAGCTACTGTTTCAAGGGATTTCTTGGAATGGAGTGCTTCATGTCTAACTGTGTTAAAGTAAAATGATATTCTTTGTCAACTGATAGTGTTTGCCTAGTGTGGGCAGAGAACCTTACCAGGAAGGCAGTATGTGTGAGCAACAATTACACCAACAAAATAGACACAATGCTGTCCTTGGAGAGCTTATGAAATTGTGCATATAGAATAGGCACACCTGAAAGAGGCTTAAGATCATTACAAAGCAGGATACCAGGGGCTGTGACCGAGACTCATCTATTTCTGGAAAGTGTGGTCTTGATCCCATTTCTAAAAACTGAAATTGGGCTGAAACCTGGGTATATCTGGTCTCCAGAAAGAACACCACAATATATCCAAAAGTATTTAGCAGTGTGGCAGCTCTCCCAAGCACAAAGGTGTCACCTCATAAGTTAGAACTGGAGGTGGTGGGATGAAAGGCCAGTGTATTTTAATCAGTATCAAAAAGTTAATTCATTCCAAGGTATTTACTGAGCACCTACTATGTGTAAGGCACAGTGCTAGGGGCCTCATGTTAATTGGAAAGAAGATATGACATGTGCATAAACTGCTAAAATAGAATGGACATAGGGATGAGTGTCTCAAAGGAGGTACATATAAACTGTTGGAGTTCAGAGAAAGGTGGACTACTCATAGATGAGAAACCTCGTGAAGGTGTCAGTGGCAGGTGGATCTTATAGAACAAATAGGGCTTGAACACTTTGGAGACAGGCATGGCCCTAGGGCTAAGTCCAGATCCGTAACAGGTTCTGAAGCTATGGTTCTCTGTCTTTCTGTATCAGATGCCCATCCAGAACTCCACATTGATAAATCAAATCTGGGACTTGACTGACCCTTCACTTAGTATCTTGCCCCAGTCATAACTGTCTCCCTGTCTAACCTTTAGTAGTATTTCTTCAGATTATTTTAATTCACTCTCAGAAGCCATTTCTTCTGGTAGGAGTGAACGAATAAATGGTGTCTATTTTCCTAATCCTTTCATATCCTCTTTATATACAAGGACAGTTGTCACTCAAGCTCACAAGATGATGGGCCTTTTTACAGATGTGGCAGAGCTCTGTTCTGAACAGAATGATGGTCAAGGTGCTCTATGCTTTTGTACCACTTATTTACATGATGGTCCTGTGCTATCATCTAGAAAACTGGAGACTGAAAGCTGTCTCCACCTCCCGTTGCTGAAACAGCAAAACTGATGGACACCTTTTGAAAGAAAAGTAGAAAATGGAAGGGAGTGAATTATACTTGCGTTTGGGGGAATGAAACTGCCTGTCTCAACCACTAAGCATCTCAGCAGGGGTGTCAGCTTCCCTGAGAGACTTCCCAAAGAAACCCCAGGTTTTGAGTGGATTCAACATTGCCCCGGGAACCTCATTTTACATAAAATGGTAGGATGGCAAAATACTGAAGCATACTGGGATCACCAGCCAGGAACAGGGCTTGCTCCAACACAACTAAAACTGGACTTACATGTTTTGGATGTAGAAATGACATGATAAACATAGAGCTTTTAAGACACAGGAGCACTTGAATAATAATACTTCAAAGCCAAGAAGGGTTAGACACATACCAGATGCTTTACGAATGCCATTAGTGTTATCGTCAAATGTAAAGCATGACTTTACAGAGAGCTCGAGGCTACTGTCCACCTTCAATGACTGGTATCAATATTTTCAAATAAGTCAAGCTGTGACCACACTTCAACATAACAGTAACTCAGCTGTTCTCCGGTCCATATGGTTTTGTACCCATTTCATGTATTTGGAATCCCTCCAGAATCTTCCTAACTATTTGCTGGAAAATGGAAACAGCCAACTTTGCTGATTGCCAGTAGACTTTAGACACCACCAAACAACATGACTACTGCACAAGTCTGATTATTTCTACATTTATGAGAATACCCACTCGCTTTCATTGTCCATCAGTTGTGCTGCTATGAGTCATTGTCATGCCTGAATTCTTCCAAAATATGCTTCTTAGGTGTAGAGTAACAGACTGACTTGGGCTCGCCCCCTGGTAAACCTGTAACTACTACTTCTATGCAGCTTTGCTGAAGCCTCCTCTCCACCAGCAGCCTGCTTCCTGTCAAGCACGGCAGTTTTCCATCTGGAATATTTCTAACCATCAGTTCCTCCATACTCTGCCTGAGCTAAAACTGATGCCTCTTTTTGGATGTGCAGAAAAAAATGTGGCCACACCCTGCATTTCTTTTGACTCAGCTAATTATGAATTTAGAAACTTAGAAACAATTACAAAACATTCTTCAAAATAAACTGCCATCCAGGTTGCACTTTGTTATCTTTGAGAGCGTTATGTGCTAATTCTGATTATGGGCATACAATCCATATTTTTGTTTTAAAAAATGGATGTACTTTTATGCAGCACCCAAATTTAATTACTCTTAAAGCTTTTTAGGATCCCAGATGAAAGATGCTACTGCAGTGGGAAGTTGTAGTATTATTTATTTCTCTAGACATCAACATTAGTTGGTTTCCCCTTTCTTGAAACCTATTTATCATTTGTATAAATATAGTATTTGGGGAGCTTCCTGCATTAGATCATCTCCCGTCCTTTTAGTGCCCTTGACGTTCATTGCACTTTCCTGGTGAGGCTTGCTGAGCCATTAATGCAGTGGCCCCTCCTATTTTAAAACCTTTGGAAAGTCTTTAATGTTACTTATTGCTATTGAGATGACAGTTGACAAATATTTTTCTTGCTTTTGTCCTATGTAGAACACAGTCTTCTTTCTTACCAGGGTGACCAGGCTTTTCTCCTGATGTCGATATTCATTCACAAACGTTTATTGTTGTCTCCTCTGGGGCTAGGTACTGCTAGGTTCTGGGGCTGCCAAGCAATTTCTGGGCCCTTACCCTTCTTCAAAAGCCAGCTCACATTGTGTCTCCTCTGAGAGGTTACATCTAGCATGATCTCTCCCACCCACTCACCTTGTAGTATGGCAGACAGACTCTAAGGTAGCTCCCCTGATCCTGTCTCCTGGTATCTATGCCCTTCTGAAATTCCTTCCCCTTGAGTGTAGGAAGATCCTGTGACTTGATTAACCAAATAAAATACAGCAAAGGTGATGGGAAGTCACTTGCATGATGTTACATAAGATTTGTCACATCTCCCTTGCTGGCTTTGAGGAAGTAAGCAGCCATGCTGGGGAGGTGTGTGTGGTGAGGAACTGAGGGCGGCCTCTGGCTGACAGCCTAAAAGGATTTGAAGCCCTCAGTCCAACACCCAACAAGGAATGGAATGCTGCCATCAACCACATAAGCTTAGACACCGATCCTTCCCCAGTTGAATGTTTGAATGAGGATCCATCCCTGGCCAATATCTTGATTGAAGCCTTAGAGAGGACCCAATTAAGCCATGTCCTGACTCCTGACCTACAGAACCTCTGAGGTAATAAATGTGTGTTTTAACCTGCTTAGTTTGTGGTAATATTGTTGCACAACAATAGAAAACTAAGATATGTAGCTAATTTCCCCTGTGGACTCTGTGTATATAGTACATAGCTCTATAACTGTATTTAGACTGCACTGTAATCTTTTTTTGCATGTCTGGATGCCCCATAAACAATAAGGACCACAATAATAATACTAATAATCACTGAAGCGGAGTAGAATTGTACATTGTAGCTCTCAAATGTGTAGAAAAGAAAAAGTAGCTTTTTTTTTCTTTTTCTTTTTTGAAAAAGTAGCTTTCTATTGTTTTCTCTAACTGCCCTCATCTCAGTCTCAGGGTCCCATCTTGCTGATGGCTGTGTGCATGGGTGAGAAGGAGTTCCTTAAACTTGCTAATGAAACATAACTCTTTATGTCGGCTTGGTCTTTAGTCAGTCAAATTCAAGAATCAATTCCCTTATCAGAGCTGTTTCTCTCTCTTCAAAGCTTTCCTCCCTTCTCTCTCCAAAATTGTGTCAGGTATAGGGAAGGCTTATGTGTCTCATGGCCACTGGGGAAAATGGCTAGTTCATGTGATGGTCCTGTGCTGTTGTCTGCACCTGCACTGGCCTCCTCAGAATTGCACATTATTCCACCTTGTTGCCCGGCATTCTGCTGGCATCTGCAGGATGTTGAAGTCTGCAGCTGACATAACTCACGGCCAATCTCAGCTTGATCACGAGCTGGTAGACTTTTTGCTGACTAAGTGTCACACTGGCCCTAGCTGGCTCTGCAGATACTCTGATTCTCTTCCTTGTTCTCCATCAGATACTGGCCTGGAGTGTCTATTCTGTGGTCTCTGCTATGGATCACTTTGACACCAGCCATGCCAGCACTATGGCAGTCCTTTTGGTGCTCAGTGGTCAACTAGCTTCTGTATCAACCAGTGGAGAGCACACTGTATCATATGAATTCCTATCAGGCTACGAGGGAGCAAGGAGAGGCTCAGGATGCCTTCTGCCCCATTTTGGCAAAGGGATACCCTGTGAAGTGGCTTTCTCCCACAGTCCTGGAGAAGCAGTGGCACAAGCCCCATCTACTTTCAGCTTTCCTCTTATTCTGTACAATAATATTATGGCCAGTGTGAGGTCCGGGAGAGGCAGTGCTTAGTCTTTGAGAGATTCAGGTACAGTCTTTTCTTTACCTGTTTCTTTCCAAATCTCTATTATCATCACTTCCGGAAGGACTTCAGGTTCCTCATTCTGCCTGGTGGGAACCTTCCCTTATGTCCTTATATCATTTCCTTCTGCTTTCCTTCTTTACTCTAAATGAGATTTGCCCTTTTCTTCCCTGGGACACTAAACCTCATGTCTTAACCTTGATGGTACATAAGCTGCGGGAAAAGGAATGGCTTACCAATTACAAAAGATGCATCAGGAGTTTTGACTAAAAAAGCATGCCATAATGGAAAAGATGAATGCATTTTACTCCACTGTAATTAAGAACTTATGCCCATCAAAAGATTCTATAGGGCTTCCCTGGTGGCGCAGTGGTTGAGAGTCCATCTGCCGATGCAGGGGACACGGGTTCGTGCCCCGGTCCGGGAAGATCCCACATGCCGTGGAGTGGCTGGGCCCGTGAGCCATGGCTGCTGAGCCTGCGCGTCCGGAGCCTGTGCTCTGCAATGGGAGAGGCCGCAACAGTGAGAGGCCCATGTACCAAAAAAAAAAAAAAAAAAAAAAAGATTCTATAAAAAGATTGGGAAATATATGTCACAAATTGGGAGAAGATATTTGTACACATACAACTGACAAAAGGTTAGCATCTAGAATATACACTGTCTGCCTAAGAGGAAAACAGAAAAAGGTAAATTGCAAATAGAAAAATAGGTACAGGACACAAATAGGAATTCTATAGAAAAAGTATAAACAGATGTTTAACCGTCTTAATAATCAATGAGATGGAAATTACATCCACAGTGAGATACTATTTACATCCACCAAGTTAGCAAAAATTTGAAAGTCTCACAATGTTTAGTGCGGCGGCACAATGGGGACTCTGATATACGGATGAGAGAACAGATTGGTACAACTACTTCAGAAAACATGTTGCCATTACCTAAGTTTGCATACCCAGGAATTCTACTCCTAGATAAATCCTGAGAAACTCTTGTACCTGTGCACTAGAAGCCATGCAGAAGAATGTTCACAGCAAAGATCTGGAAACAATTCAAATGACCACCAATAGGGTAATGGATAAACACTTAAGTTGTGGTATACTCATACAATAGAAGAGTATTTGGCAGTGGAATGGAATGAATGAACTACAGCTACACAGGTCAACATGGATGCATCTCAAAAACATTACTGAGTGAAAAATGGAAAGTCACAGCAAGAGAAAAAAGGCAAGCATGAATTCTTTCATCAAAGGTCAAAAACAGGCAAAACCAAGTGAAATTCTGCTTAGCAAACAGACATTAAAACTGAAAATGAAAACAAAGTAACAAGACATGATTCAGGAAAGGTGACCTCTTTGTGGGAAGGAAGGAGGGAGGGAGAGGCAATCAGGAGGGATGGATACCCCAAGGCTTCAAAGATAATGGTATCTTTCTATTTCTTAAGTCAGAGGTCTACAAATTTCCAATTTTCCAGGGCCAGATAGTAGATATTTTAGACTTTGAGGGCTGTATAATCCCTGTCACAACTACCACTGTAGTCATGCTCGTCGAATGTGCATGACTATGTTCCAATAAAACTTTACTTAGGGACATAAACTTAACTTATATATAATTTTTAAATGTGATGAGGTATTATTCTTTAGATTTTTTTCAACCATTAAAAAATGTAAAGCCATTAGCCTGTGAGTCATACAAAAACAGACACAGGGCCATTAGAGTTTATATGTATACTGTATATGTGTGTGTATGTGTGTATATCTATTTATCATCTACCTATCTTTCTACACTTTTGTGTATGCTTCATATTGTTTATAAGGAGACTCTTTTTTTTTTTTTTTTTTTTTTTTGCGGTACGCGGGCCTCTCACTGTTGTGGCCTCTCTCGTTGTGGAGCACAGGCTCCGGACGCGCAGGCTCAGTGGCCATGGCTCGCGGGCCCAGCTGCTCCACGGCATGTGGGATCTTCCCGGACCGGGGCAAGAACCCGTGTCCTCTGCATCGGCAGGCGGACTCTCAACCACTGTGCCACCAAGGAAGCCCATGGAGACTCTTTTTAAGAATAAAAAATTGTTATCCATCTCATTCTATCACCTATTTATCATCTGCTTTGTGCCAAGTACCATGGTAGGAGCTGTGCATATTATTTTTAATTTTGGCAAAAAGCATGAAAGATAGGTACTTAAAATTTTTTTTTTTTGCTGTGTTGGGTCTTCACTGCTGCATGTGGGCTTTCTCTAGTTGCGGCAAGCAAGGGCTACTCTTTGTTGTGGTGTGCAGGTTTCTCATTGCGGTGGCTTCTCTTGTTGCGGAGCATGGGCTTTTGGCACGTAGGCTTCAGTAGTTGTGACTCGCGGGCTCTAGAGCGCAGGCTCAGTAGTTGTGATGCACGGGGCTTAGTTGCTCCGCAGCATGTGGGATCTTCCCGGACCAGGGCTCAAACCCACGTCCCCTGCCTTGGCAGGCAGATTCTTAACCACTGCGCCATCAGGGAAGCCTCCAGGCATGGTTTTGGATATGTGGATTTAAGTAAGACTAGATTATCTTTAAACAAACAAAAACTGGATGTAAAATAAAGTGTGGCCTGAATCTTTAGAATGATGATATTGTTAACTCTGATGTGCTCAATTTTGAGAGTAACTTTTGAAAATACAATTATTAAATGAAAATATCCAAGAGGAAAATAACTGAAGGTCGAGATTTGCTGAATGCCAAATACGAGAGCAATTGGCCATATGATGGGTAAAATAAGATGTTGTCTGAAGCAGTGACACGAAAGCAAATTCAAATAGCTTAATCTATTTTGAAGAAAGAAATCTAAACCCAAAGCACATGATTTAAAATATTAGAAAAGATGTCTCATGGCTCTCAGGGAATGAAAAAGGAATAAAATGATAATCATAAATGTGGCATTGAGTCATGCCAGTGGCCCACAGCCCCAAATTCTGTCTTCCTTGACTCTGTGGGATATTTTGTGGCAAGTCAGGCCTGGCCCTGGATTCCCAGGTTACACAGTTGAGCTATAATTTATGAATTGATATAAATGTCGATTACTTTTACTCTCATTTTATGTCAACTTTGGTGTAATGTTTTCTGCAGATAGTATTTACCTTGTATTGAACCAAAAGCTAGTACTTTGAAACATTAAATCACATCTTCATACTTCAGAGTTTTGGGATTTAGAGAACAGATTGCTGATCCGTGCATCTGTTTCTTTCATGGTTTCTAAACTTTAGTCTTAGACACTCTTGGCTAACATCCATTAGCCTTCTCTATTGTAGAGAAATCGTACTGTTTTGGTTTCTACTCGCTGATTGGTTTCCAACTCTTTTACATCTTCCTTGAGGTGTAACCACAGAAATCTTATGCACTTTTCCAGGTAAAGCTGCAGCATGACTCTGTACAAGGGTGGGCTAGTGCTACTGCTAAAGGTGTAATTCAAGGATGTATTAAATAGTACAATACCGTAGCACTGACTGCTGGGTAAGGTATACCGGAATGGATGACTGGGGCATTCCTCTGACAGCCAGGTGACCTTGGGCAAGTCATTTTGCCTCTCTGAGCCTCAGTTTCTTCTGTTTTATGTACCTCCCAGGGTAGCCGCAGGATCAAATGAGACAAAGTACAGGCCTAAGGATACAAGTCTCTATTTCCTCTAATATAAAAAATCAATACATTCTCATTGTAAAAAACATATATAAAAGGAATATGTAATGGAAAGCAAAATTTCTAGAAATAACCACTGGGGCTAGCTTGGTTATACTCCAGATTTTTTTCTCCCTCTCTGGCTAATAACATGTAATACAATTGAAAAAGCAAGATCATTCTACATGCTATATTTTCTCT